ACTTTTGGTCGACTCCAAAGGAGACTACCCAACCATGGGAAACAAATTGGCGAAACGTGACTGCGAATGTCCGCGAGTACAATCGGTCAGATGCAATCTTTTAATGTCCTATCACCAGTCGGCAGTGTTCCAGGACGTGTTGGGTCTACGTGTGGCACGGGTTTTCTCTACAAAAAGCCACAACTGTCTGTTTAACAACACTGCGACCTAGCGGATGACTCAGTACTCAATAACGTCACCGCCCCTAACACACATTGCAAGTTGACCGATATCACATTTACAAATTCTGTGCATATATCTGCTCTCGCACGAACACGCTTAAATATTTGATTAGTGACATGCCAAAGTTCTAAATATTTTTGGGATTTTTCCTCATGCTTCACTCACCTGACTCGCCCTGTGTACGCAACCTCATCGGATTAGTTCCTCATCGACATACTTCACATTCGTGAGCTGATTCTTATCTCTACCTTTTGCATTCTGTAGACATTGACTTCGTACAACCTTTGGGCCATATGGGTCCACACTACTGTCTTCAACTGTAATACTCCCGCTCTTAGTGCTGCTAATCATGCTACCATGTACAATATTGCAATATTCTGATCATGCCCGAAAGGCTTGCCTCGCTTTGACGAGAATACAATATTTATTTATTTATATAGACGGCACGGATGAACAGCTGTTCTAAAAGTTACTTGTTTAGCGCGAGCTGACTTACCGGAGGTGCAACGCACTGAATAGCGGCGGCAAAGGTTACGTGGAGGCTGATCATTAGCGGCGAATCAACCATATAGGCAACAGGCATACACTGCAGTGCTAAAAGCCATTTTTAATAGCGGATAGGCTTAATAGAGGTAAAACGGATAACTAGCTGTGGCGCAGGTCAAGTGGAGGCTGACCAGTAGTGGCGGACCAGTGATATAGGCAGCGCAGATGGACAGGTGTTCTAATAGCTAGTTGTTAAGTACGGGTAGTCCTACCAGAGGTGCAAGGGATTACCTAGCGGCAGCGAAGGTTACATGGAGCCTGACCCTGGGACCTTGGGTTATGCCGGGGACGTGACAGACGTAATTACCATCTTTATATCTGCTGACGCAAGGGGCCAGGTTTCTTAGGCGTACAGTAAGGTCGAACATACCTCTCCATTGTACCTTCTACCCTCAGTGGATAGAGTGCTGTCCCACCGCCGACATATGTGTCGAAGCCACTTCGTGCTTCCGCTATACGGTTGGTGATCTCGTCCTCGATCCCAAGGACACTGATACAACTTTCAAAGCAGTTGCTTTTCTGAACGACTTCTAGACATTCTCCTATCAAACGTTAGCGCTGGTCGCGATCCCTGCCAAGCTTAGAGGAAAGCCTTACACTTCGACGGTGGAAAGCGAAGTTGGAATTGGCTGACATCCAGCGCTGATCTCCCTAGTGCATTTTCACACGTCTGAGAGTTATGCAAAGAGGAAGGCAATGTCGTCTTCATACCGAAGTCAATAAGTCGTTCTCCTTCCAAGTTGTGTCCATGACGACGGTTAAGTGGGACGGTGACAGCGAGTATCCTTGTCTCACACAGCTGGAGATATTGAAGGACGGCGACCGCTTGCCGTAAGCCATCACTGACCGTGCTACGCGCGCATAATGCTGGGATAATATTTACATATTTCTCGGGCACCTTTTATGCGTTGACAGTCACTACGACCACCTCGAGCAATTTAATCGAAGGCAACTTGCATGTCCGGGAACACTACTACGGTGCTCCGCCAAGAGTTATTACGTCGCCTTAACAATTGATGCCAAGTTAGCATGTGGTCGATGCAGCAGCGTCCCAGACGAAACTTGCCCCCTCCGGTCTGGAAACCTGAGACGCCTAAAAGTATTTGATAGTCGTGGTCTGCGAAGCAGTATTGCTGTCGGATGGCACCAGGGTATCCGCAACGATGAGGTAAGTAGGCGATTGATAGGTATGGATTATCATGCTAGCCAAGCTAAAACGACAGTAACATTGCATAGCTTGCTTTACCTTGAGCATCTGTCAGGTAGGCCTGGTCAGCGCCTAGCCAGCAGGGTCTTGTTTAGTCTGTACCTTGTAGGATGCCGCTGAGGTAGAGGCAGACAGTTGAGTTGGAAGCACGCCTAAACAATTAATATTCATTGTGCAAGCACATGCCGTCATTCCGTTGTTGATAAATTGTGTGACGGTTTTTCCTGTGTTACGTGCACGTGAGCACGTTCACCCTATATAATTTTTAACCTGCTACGATTGTATGTGTGCCTCTGTGATCCATTAAGCTGTGCTGGGTGGTGCTATTTGCACTTTCAGAGCCAATGATACCAGATTGGTCAATGGTTAGAGGCCAGGGAAAATCAACCTCCCGGTCCTGCAGAACTCCTGGTAGCCCAACGCATAAATCGGTGCCCACCGCGTAACTTGTTGAAACAAAGGCTTTGGTTAAGAACCCTTATGGTTCGCCTGTGTAGACCCGAGCAGGCTGACAGTATCCTGCTTACGCAATGCAATGAATTGTCCCGCCAGCAATTTCTTGATGCTCTGGCCACAGCAGAGTACAATCCACGATGCCCTATCTGCTGCACCCAGCAGGGTGGATAGGGTTTTGATGCTGCTGCTTAAGCCTTCTCATCTTCTACTACCCCTCTTACGCGTTTTCACCCCCATCGTCCCACTCCAGCTTCATCTTTAGCCCCCGGTTTCAACCCCCAGATTGATGGCCGTCTCACACCTAGCTTTAATAGTCGCGTGGCTCTAAGTTTCAACTAACGTGTGAACGCGAGGCGTCGTTCCTGCTACGGTAAAACACGACTCCTGTCGCCAACCAAACGAAGGACTTCGCTACAAAAGGAGCTCGGGCCCTGTAGTGCTGGCTGGGGAGCTGAATGCCAAAGTTAGAAAATTATCCGCTGATGAACTGTATCTTGGTAGCCAACATGGTGTACGCTCCAGTAATATTAACTGTACGTGCTTCGTTCATTTGTGTGAAGTTGGTGGATAATTTCTTGTGAGCACTAACTTCCGGCACTGCAACCGCCGGAGGGTGACATGGCGCCCACCAACTTCACAACACATATGGAAGCAAAACCATCACATTGCGATAACCTTACAATAGAGCGGCTGCGTTTAGAACTGCCGCTCGCGTTGGAGTACGCATGTAGACACCGACCATGCACTGTATGTGCTGACGGGCGGATGTGATTTGGTGGACGCCCAAGAGGACATTGTGAGCGCATTGACACCAGCTAACTGGTGCAGCCAGCTATTCGGAATGCCACTGATCGCCCAGCCCCTGGGCTGTCTCTTTATAACCGCCGTTTCGCTCAGAAGTCGAACGTGTGATCCCACTACTGAAGTTAAATAACGCCGCGGGAACAGATGATCTTCCTCCAACACTCGGGAAATTCGAGGGTCACGCCACTGTGGATGGTTTATAATAACTTTTAGTAAAACCGTTGGAGCAGGAAACTGCCTCAACCACTACAGCCGCTCTGTCGTAGTCCCAATTTTCAAGAGCGGCTGACGAACAGGATACAGCAATTATAGAGGAATCAGTCTGCGCTCCATAGCACCCAAATTGGTCGCCTCTGCCACCCTTCCCAGACTGACTGGAACTCGTAAAAGCCATCTTCGTGAACAGGAAGCCGGGTTTCGAAAACGTCCTGGCCGCATTGATCGTACCTTAACCTTGCGTCAGTTGTGAGAGCACCATCACATATCTTGCCGGTCCAACGCTATCCTGTTCCTTGATATCAATGGTGCATTCGAATCCGTGGATAGAAGTGCACTTTAGGAAGGTCTATTCTTGAAAGGTATTCTTGTGAAAGACGTAAATAATATCCGATCATTATACGCGCGTAGCTTTGGCAGAATGAATCTAACGGAAATTTGTCGTCGCCGTTTGATATCTCCAGCGATGTGAAACAGGGTTGTCTGCTCTCACCTTTTCTCTGCAACTTCGCTATTGACGAAGTAATGTAACTCGCACTCACAGGACACGACTTAAAAGATGTGGAGCTACTCCCTGGAGAAAGACTTTTTGACTTATAGTATGTTGAGGATATTGACCTAATCTATGACAGATGACAAATTAGCCAAATGGCACTGGACAGATTGCCTCTGGCTGTCCGTCACTTCGGGTTTGCTTCGCACCTTCGAATTGTGAAGCGTCCCTCCAAGATCGGTTTAGACCGCCTCTTACGCTGAACGTTGGTGTGGATAAGCTAGAAGTCGTTCAAAACTTCAACTGCCTTGGAAGTTAAAGCAGCGCCCGTAGGATGGAAGGGGAGATAACGAACCGTATAGCAAAAGCTCGAAGCGCTTTTGAGCCATCGGTCGAAGCGTCTAAGGGCCGGAAGACGATCAACTGGTGTGACTGGGTACACTTGATGAGCTGGCTACGAGCCGACATTAGTGGCGTTTGTGCTTAGTTTCTTTGTCCCCATCAATTTCTATTAGCCTCCCCTCCAACCATGATCTCACTATATAGCCATATATAATTTCGTATAGTGAGTTTTGCTGAATAGTCGCCGGCTGGTAGCTTATCGGAACCATACCTATCCGTTAACGGTAGCTCAACTGACGTGCGCCTGTTGCATTTTTCTCTTTTTTATAATTTTTATTGCGGCACAGTAGTTGAGGTGTTTTCCATCTCTGACCAAAGTGTATAATGATGATGACCACGCTATCCCTTGTACAGCATATGAGGCGTCAGCAAGATAAACGTGCGAACAGCGTGAAGTTTTGCAAGCATAACCGCACATGCTGCTGCAACTGCTGCCTTAATACTCATACGCAAGGGAAAGTCAACGTCAAACCAAGTCATATGCAATGATTTTTTTCATAAAAACAAGTAACTTACCGACAGTGTGATGCACATTCGCAAATAAAATGTAACGCGTTCACTTCTGCAAATGGATTTCAGTTGCAAAAGCCCGTGCCGTTGTCCTCAGGTTACCTGCAATGCGTTTCGTAATTACATTGAATACCAGGAATTTACCTTCTGCAGAAAACGCTTTTATGCGTATCCTTAAAATGATATGATGCATGATGTTGATGGAACCACCTTGAGCATTTGTCATGCACCTCCCAAAAGACATCGCTACCACCCGTTCCAAAGTCTCTTCCTGAAGACACAATGCACAATTCGCTGTTGGAACCTGGTTACTTGCACTCCCATACGCACCGCGTCTGCTCTGCTTTCTGCATCTAGCAGTCGTAGTTGTCGGTAGCCGACGAAATTGCGTAACGCGTATTGCGCTAGTACCGGGAGTCGGATTTACAACAACATGACATCCACGTTCTACGGAAATACTGAAAGCATTCTGTATTACTTTGCATTCCGTGATAACACTTCTCCTCAGGCGTGAATAGCAGATTCCTCAGCAAACGGAGCAGAAAAGTCGTTTCCGCTGGGTCCGCAACAGACAGCTGACTGCGCGGTCTGTTAATGGCCCGTAACACGTGAACGCGGCACAGCACCAAGCACACCTCCGGAAACACCTCCCTGAAAGTGTTGATCTTTTGCGCCCATTTGTCCATCATAATAGTTCGTACGGTTGCCGTGCTCGGAACTATTGCAGGTATAGATGGTACCGCCGCCAACTAACTCTTCCCCCTCTCAGTTTGTAACTGGGCGTAAAAAATGACATCCCCCTCCCCATGACGTCAACAAACATGCAATGCCAGAGAATGTAGCCGCTGTAATTAATCGGGTGTGTCGGGTCCGCCAGTATAACTTTGCGGTATCTTGCCACCATTTTTCAAATGCACGCGGGTACGAAAAATAAAGAATCGCACCTTTAGACGCCCCCACAACCGTACATGAACCTTCGTTTTCTAAAACGGTGCCCACAGGTTCCACCTCAGTAACTTACTCCGCCTGACTCCGATGCCTTAGATGATTTAAATCACGTCTGCTAATACGAATGCCGTATTCCGTTAACACGAAATTCCTTTTTTACGTGTCTGACGAAACGACTTCATCAACATTAATACCGCCGCCCCTTGTACTGCATTAGGCCGCCGATTAGCAGGATAAAGCTAAGGTTTCCCTAACTGGAACACATGCGAATGCCTCAAGCAGGCGCGGCCCATCTCACAATACTTGGCTTTCAGTACCCCGCAAAATCGGGCCTTGCAGTTGTAGTACCAGTTACTAAAAGATTCAACAGCAGTCAAATTATCGTGCAGCTTACCGTTTCTCTTTCACATCCTTACGCTTGCTATGCACACATCGGTATTGAATGAATCGATAACGGAAACCATCAGGGAGGTCGTTTCCAGTTTTTTGCTTATGATCCGCCGCAATAATCACCGTGCATCTATAAAACGAGCTTGCATTTTCTCTTTGGAACCGCAGCAAATTGCGTTGGTACTCCTCAGTTGGCTCGGGACCCTCAGTTATCTTGGGACGCAAAGCTTCGGTATCATCCTGCACGGCGGAACACACGAAACGCGCCAAAGTGTAAAGCTAAATAACTTATATAAACAAATCACTTACACTGCCTTCATTCCTTAACCATAAGGTATATAGAAATTACCCTTAACTTACCCTTGCCGTTTACGTGACTATACAACATCTAAACTACCTCACGTTATACGTTAATAAACGACCTGATGAATTAGGTGTGCCATCCCTAACGTTTGTGAATGAATCGAACCTCCAGTTTACGATAGACGCTCCGATTGGTACACTGACCTTACAGAGGGCTCTGGATAGACTTTGAGACTGGTCAATTTTGGGGCAGTTGCCCGTTAATTTAGCGAAATGTGCAGTTTTACGCGTTGGTCTGAATGACCTGCCGACGCGTTATTTACTTGGCGGCAACGAGGTACCGCGAGAGTAACCTCAAGCTGACCTCGATATTTTGCTCTCATCCGACTTTACGTCCAGAGAGCACTGGACGATAGTAGCTTGCAAAGGTTTCAACACGTTGTGGACGATCCGCAGGTCATTCAGGATCATGACCACCAAACTGTTCGTTAGACTATTTTCGGCTTTTGTAAGGCCGCACTTGGAATACTGCCTTCAGGCTTGTCCTCCATGCCTGGTTCGTGATAAGATGGCAGTTGTACGAGTCAGGCGGTCCGGGACGAATATTGTTCACGGGTTAAATAAGCTGACGTACCCGGAGGGGCTACGTAAATTAAATATGTTTTTCGTGTATTACAGGCGGCTTCAGGGCGACTTGGTCCTCACATTTTGTATATTGATCGGTCAGCTTGGTCCTGATTGGACTGGACTGTTTTGCCCGACTCGAGTGCCAACCCTTCGTGATCACCCATTAAAGTTGCACAAACCCCGGTCCGACCGGGTTTGGGCAACTTTTCGGCTATCGCGTAGGGTCATAGCTTTTGGAACGCATTGCCTGCAGACGTCGTAATGGCACCGACGGTGAAAGAGTTCGAGCATCGACTTGACGCCCTTGGTCTACAGTTCAAAGTCTTCCTCTTCATGTCCTAAACTTTTGGTCGTCTGTTACAGCCTACGCTTCTTTAACTCACTCGAACTTACCTCTTAATATTGCCTGGGATAATCGATATGCATGGCTTCTCCTCTGTTTCCTTTTTTACTAACACTACTGTTTTATAGTATTCTTCACTTGGCCGGCACAGCGGGGAATGCTAGTGCAGGGAACGCGGGCATTGTTTGATGGGCCATGTGAGTCCTGGTTGTTGATTTGGCTGTCCTATGGCACATCAAGGCACCCGTTTCCCTGTTGGTTGAACGACATGTTCCAAGGTGGAACATTCGCGGGATTTTCCTACTGTCCCGGTCCCACTTGAATCTGAACTTGAACTTGCACATGAGCATATTTACCGTGACTGTACCATGTATCCTTCACGGGCTACACTTTAAGCGCTTATCGTTAGGAGGTCGCTCCGGCAGATTTAATGTAGATAATTTGCTTAGTTTTATTTTCACGCTTACCCATTACCCTGCAGCTGTACGACTTTGTGTTACTCAACTATGTATGGACCTAACGATTGGTTTCGAGCGATGTTTGTTTTAGGTCCATCAGTATTTCAGAGGAGACCGTATGATTGCACTACGGCGGTTAAATTTGTATTTCTTTGGTGCCATCTGGTACATCCGTTTTAGAGGCATAATAATTTGCCTTCTGAGTTATATCGACGGCTTGCATAAATTATTAGGAAACGTTCAATCGTAATACATGTGAGGTGAATTATCAGCATTTTACTAGGGCAAAGGTGCTGAAAGAAGGAAAGTCAATAAGCTGGCGGAAAATCAACGGATGCACAATTGGTAGAAAATGCGTTCAACAAGTGTAGCACTTATTTAGTTTAAAAAATGTACTGAAGTGTGGTATGCGTCTAGGCTGAAACTGATGATCTATTATAATAAGATTTTATGGTTAACAATGCGGCAGGTAAAAGGTTGATAAATCTACACGGCATACTTTTTGCACAAATAATCCACACGGAAGACATTAAATGGAACTTTTTAAGGCAAGGTAGGTACCCGGAGTATTCCTACTGAGCGGATAAACGTAATGAAGAAGTGTGAAACTTACTGATTATGCTTCGAAGGGAAACTTGAAGTAAAGGCAATTTGATAAATCTGCGGAAATAAAAAAGGAATAACTGCTATGTCAAAGGCATCGCTGTATGCCTGGTTGATAGGGTATAAAGGAAGGAGTTCAAAATGTATACCAGCATAAGAATAACGGATATTTTATATTACTGTATTGCTGTATATCTGAATGTGGAATGGGAAATGCTCAAGCACTGACTTTCATTTGCTCTTGGTATTTATAATTGCGTAACGTGTGCGGGTGCGCCTGGGTTGTTGAAACGTGCTACGCAAATAGGACTAATGTGTACGTCTTCATATGCGCAGGTGAACAGGTTAAGTGCGTATAAAAATGCGTAAGTTTATGACAACGTCTACGAACAGTAGATATACCTATATACAATCGTACGCGTCAATACGCTAGCTATGCACACATATAAATTTGCACATGTGCATATGTATATATGTACATATATTTATACCTTTACATATGCATACAAGTACATATATATTGGCGACTAAACCCGCAACCACATTCGCTTCCACAGGTGATGTAGGCACGACGAACCTTGGACCGAGGACAGGACACCAAACAATACGGTCCATCAGACCGACAAGGGAGAACCGAGGATACGCGGAAATGGGCTAAAGACACATTCGCAGCAAAATCACTCAGCTGTGTGTACAGCAACGCCACAGAAGACACTTCTGATGGTCTGCGACTACCGGGCAATTTCAACCTCTTCGTGTATAGTAGTGCATGCTGGGACTTCTCGTCCGAATACTACGCCTTAACTCGGTTCACATTTAGCCGGACGTCTCTGGTCATCGCCGAACGTTTGACGCCACCTTGTTACTGAAGCTTCGGATTTCGTCATGCCCAACTCACTCTGTTTACACTGTTCAAAACTGGTTACTCAGGGCGTTCAGTGTATCACTTGTAAATTCTGGGCCTGTGGTCACAAACGTTGTTTGCAACTTACGGATTCGCTTTTAAGATCTTCGCTGAACACATAGGCCTGTTATGGGTCTGTCGGTATTGCATTGATGCAGCTGGACTGGCAAGACGACCACCTCTTCAAAATCTTGAGAGATGCTCGTCCGTTCCTACTGCTAGAAGAGCCAGGAAGTGCAGCGCCGTATCCCCCGGCGACCATCCAAAGAATACGACCAACCAAGTAGAAGACCTGTGTCGCACCTATCCCCCCGACAACCTGAATACGTTGCCCACAGTTCCTCCATGCAGCGGGAATTTATCAACTGGTAAACCGGAGCAAACACCACGGATCTCTGATGAGCCACCTCCTGCTACAGTCGCCGATCATGGAACCAGAAACAAGTCACCGTGGATTGTTGCGGGAAAGAGACCTCCAGTTTTGACTCCTAGCACCGTTACGCGGCCGTCCGTATTGTCCGAAACTGGTCTGATCCATCCTCGTAACCATTGTCTGATGATCTTTCATGCCCCGGAGTCAGAGAGTTCCGACCCGCGAATTCGTTATGAGCATGATGTCGCGTTCTTACAAAATTTGTTTGATAAACTCCTGAACCCCGATGAGCTAGATATTCATATAAAACGAGTATTACGCGTTGAGAAACGAACGGCAAAACGCCTCGTCCATTGCGAATTGTTTTTGAAAATGACGTCACCCCAGCGCGTCTTCTGTCCCGACTTTGGCGTCTAAACGGCCTGAAAATTCACGTGCGTACCGACCTCACTTTGGAAGAAGGTAATGGCCTTCAAACGGCTAACATTGAACTTAAAC